CTCACAACAGCACCTCAAGGCTGATTCTCCCTGCCCATGCGCACTCAAACCGACATTGAAGGCGATCCGAGCCTGTTCGCTCGGGCCATTCGCCTGTCAAGCATAGGAGCAGATGTTGAAGGTACTTGGCAGTGCTGAGCATCGTTCGCAAAAGTGCGCTCAAGGTCGGGACAGCCTCATCGACTGTAGCTGCCACTGTGACAGAGTCTTCACCGTCTGTGTATGGTCTGGCCCGCCTTGAACTTGCGCTTTCTGGCAAGAAGTTGCTCTCCCTGGCCATTTCTCTGTTCGCAAGCAACACAGAATGACTGCAAGGATTTTCTTGGAAGGGAACAAATGGTGCTCCCTGGATGTGGAAGAGATTTTGGTATCGTGGAACGAATTCGAGGATGCATAGCAATTCATGGTCCAGCTCAAACATAGTCCCGCCTGGGATGTGGTGAAAGAGAACCGTTCGCTGACTTAGGCGGTGCATCAGCCACGTCCAGCAGGATGAGCAGCGCTTTGTGGAGAGTGCGTTCGCAGAAGCAGAGCATGACGGAAGAGCTTTTTGCAACGAGATTTGATGTACCTCTCTGCAAATCTGAAATGAAGCCGCGAAGTCTCGCTTTGCTGTGGATGTGCGAGTATGAGCCAGAGAGCAGCAGACGAACGAGCCTCTGGTCAAGGTGGAGGGAGAACAAGCGTAGAGGAGGGCGAGCGCCACAATCTCGAGAGCGTCCTCTGCAAGATCGGCGTAGGTAGACCGTTGGGAGTCCTCGCAGGCCTACCACTCGTCGTTTTGCGGGCAAGGGAGCTTCTTCTTATATCTTGCAAGCAGCGTAGTATACCTAGAAAAGAAAGTAACGTTGACAAGGCCGACTTGAATGAAGAAGAGGGCGACGTTGAGTATGACTTTGTAACACAGAAACGTAGTATCCCGGAAATGGAAGTGAAGTCGACTTAGTGGATTTCGAAGTCGAGTGTCATTTTCCTGTTCAATATCCTTCAGCGATGATTCGTAAGCGTCCGTTTGACTTGGCTAGGGTAGTCAAACTCATAGGCCGTTGTATTGCAGAGTTGAGACAGCCAAGCGAGAGCGGTATAGCTGATTGGAGGGCTATTCATTTCTTTCATTATCCAAGGAAGGCTCATGTAAAGACTCAGCGAGCTCTTTCTTCATATCCGGAGAGCTGGCAAGGGCACAATAGGGTGTAATCACCGATTATGCGGTGTTCTGCGTAACCGCGCATTGCTGCTCAAAGTTGGCCAAGGCGGCTTCGGCGAGGCAAGAAGGCATACTTAGACCACTCCAAGGTCTGTGTACGTCGTTGGTTGCCATCGAAGAACAGCGGCGTAAAGATAGTTGCACTGATCTCAGAGTTGAGGATAAGGACATTGTCCTTCCATGCATTCTTTGCATCGTAGAGTTGCAGCAGTAGAAGTCTACCAATAATAGGATTCATCAGATCGTCATTCATATGCTCGCTATGGCACTCTCGAAAGCTGTGCCATCAAATGACTCAAGTACTCGAGCGGCAAATCTTGAGAGTACGCATACTCAGTGTCCACGAATGAGAAACTGGCACACCTGCATTCAGGTTCGATTGGTGCTTTCGGGGAAGGGGAAGAAAGAATCACGGAGCGTGGTCTTCGTCTATAGCAAGCTGAATGTCTTTCAATGCCGCAGAACTCAGTCGTGGCGATGTGTGGGCTTTCGGTGTCGAATTCATGCCATCGTGAATCATGCATGCTGTTTTGAGTGCCGGGTGGTAGTGGAAGAGCTGGTGGTATTTCGCTGTTTGGGGTATCGTGCTGTCGATTTGATACAGAGAGGCTGGCCACGGGTAAGTATGGGAATCAGTCAGCCTCCGAGTGCGAGTTTCCTCGGGGACTTTTGGGGTTCCGGGAGGTCTCGAGACATGAGGGCAACGTCTCCATATGCTCGCTGGGTCGTGCCCAGTGGCGATGGCTGCTGATCGGGTGGAACTCGCCTTTCTGGCTTCTCTGGCCTTGACGGGAGAGCATTGTGATCTGCCATTGAATATGCAGCGTTCGGTCTTCTTGCCGGCTTCTTTCTCTTGCCTTGCGATGTAGCGAGTGATGCGGGCAACGTTACTCGAAGCTGGCCCGTCACTGAGCAGCGCGGTAGACCTGCACGAGTATTTGAGTCGAGGCATGAGCCCGCGCTATCTTCATCTCCATTTTCCCGGAAGCCTTCGCACCGGAGGGATTACTGCTATGTGACGAGCACTGGTGTCATCGAAGATAGACTGCACGAGTCTTGGGGCGCTAAGCGATCCGTGAAAGGGTTGAAGTGCAGGTCGTTCCCGCTTTTGTCCAAATGGCCAGTTGGCGACTGACTGTTCAAGCTATTGGTTGACACGTTCCCCAAGGCAGTGGGGTGGAATTTGCCTCCGTGATGCCGCATCCCCATCACACGTAAAAACCTTGCACAAAATACGCCGAAGAAGTCGTTGCCTTGGTCAAGCTGTTCAAGTCAGCTCACGACGGGCAGTATTGATCAATGGCGAATATAGTGAAGTGCCAGTGTCTTCATCAGTCTTGATGTGCGAGGAAGTCGTCTTGCCTTCGCGGAGTCCGGGAAAGTGACCGAAGCGGAATTCGTCGGCAACAAAGCGGTCCGCGTAGGCGGCAACCTTCTTGACGAGCGCTTGAAGGAATGGCTCGACTCTGTTCATGTCTCTCTTGAAAGGATTGACCTCCAACTCTTCGGATTTCTCATCTCGAACAGGCGGAGGTGGAGGGAATTGGAATTGAGGTAATGGAGGTCTGCCACGATTGCCGGTACTCTCGAGGTCTAGGAGTTGTCACCGCAAGTCGAGGTTGTCTTTACGGAGCGTGAGGATTTCATGCCGCAGCTACGCATCAGACGAGCCAGTGCTGGAGGTTTGCTTCGAACGTGCCGTATTCAAATCCTGTTGTAGCTTAGCAATTGCTGCGCTGATTTGCGTGTTGAGATTTAGGGTGTTGGGATGTCCCTCCCGTGCTGAACCGGGTGTAGGAGCCCAGTGTCACAGTAGCTGTCTTGGATAGCACTGGGACGTCCTCGGAGTAACGATATCTCCATCTTCCGCCAACTCCCTCCCTTCCAGTAGTAGATGGGATCGTACGAGTTTGAACGATGGTAGTACAAGGGCATAGGCAACAGGATCTCGGTGGAGGTCGCTCCATATAGTCGCCTCATTCGTGCCGGTGAAAATGAGTGCCAGTTCTTCAGGAGGTCTGGGTACCGTATGCGTCAGGTTGCCCGCTTGGGTGAGCCCTCACAATCAACTTAGTCCAAAATGCCTTGAAAATTAGCCTCCGAAAGTAAGTCACTTCAAGCTGGCGAGACACCACCGTCAGGCCATACATGTTGAAGTATGCAATTCGTAACTGACACTGCTCAAACCATACACCACAGCTCCGCATCTTCATCATGTCCCTTCTCAGCAACCTTGCTGTATTCCCTTCTAAAGTCTCCGCTCGTCATGTAAATGCATTGGAGCTTTCGCAAACTGGACCAACAACATCTCTACCACCAGGCTCGGTAGACTCCTCTCTGGGACCCCCAAGTGCCAAAAACTCCCGACTACAATCCGCGGCTCTCTGGAATTCCTCTCGAACTTTCTCCTCCCACCATGTCTTCTCCTTCTCCTTATCTTCTTCTCTCTCTTCCTCTCCCCCTCCTCCGCCGCTCTCTTTCTCGAACACGCGATACGCGAGCACGACTTGATCAACAGCATTGTCGAGCAGCTGGAGTGCGGGTGACGAGGATAGCGGTGGGGCGATAGTGGTGGTGGATGAAATGGTTTCGAAAAGTGTTGCCTTTTCCCACATGATGTTGATGACGAGATTCCGGAATCGCTCTGATGCCCGGGCATTGTTGTGATGATGAGAAGGAGGTGTTCGCATAGGTAGTGACGGCCGTGACTTGACATCTTTTTGGTGGCCGTCGCAGTCGCGGTGTGAAGCGGTGTTCCCGGACATAGACATGGCGATGGCGGATTCGTGGAGCTTGACGAGTCTTTCGGTAAATCAATGTCACTCCACTCCACGAGCGTTCGTTTTGGTGCGCGCGTGCATGTATGCCGCAGGGAGGAATCGAGTATCACGAAAGGGTTTGTTCGGATGGATGGGGATGGTCAGCAGTGTGCGCGTGTGAGCCCAGATGAATTTGTTTGGCTTGCTCAAGCTTGCCCAGGCTGGTTTGATGTCGAGGCCCAAAGTTTGAAATCAGTCCGTGGATTTGACTGAGTGTAATGATGACGCGAGCGCAGTAGGTTGTATCAAACATTGATACTTGCGGCGATCACCTGTCGGCAAGTGCGAATCCAGTCTTGGTATGAGCAAGCAGGACGCATCATCAATATCATTCGTCCGTCCTCTCGTTGAGGAGTCCATGTTCATACCCTCGCCGGCCGCTTTGCTGAGACTCATACGCAATGGGTGTTGGGGCATAGCGCTTGGCTGTCATCCAAACTCTCGGGTTGTGACATCGGAACGTCGCGTGGATATCAGGATGTCAGAGCTTGGCGGTTGGTTGTCATTGAATTCGTGACAACGGACGAACTTGGCGGAAGGTGTGTCGTCGGCTAAGAATTATCGGCCGAAAAATCGAAGGTCCGTCGGCATTCGGGCCGTGAGAACCGAGCTTCCTAGCTCTTAGGGCTTGGCGCTTGGTTGTCATTTAGGCCGCAATAACCGAACTTCGGTTTAGGCAGGCAAATTCGACAAACTGCGCCCGCCTTTCTATTACGTATAGCGTAGTAGATTACTTACGTAATACTACCTTGCTAGCGGTTTAAAATAGCTTCGTTAATTGCCTATATTCTACTATTCTATAGTCTAAAATATAGTATAAAAATCTTTCTCCTACTAAGAAGTTATATAATAGTTATATAACTAAGCTAACGCGTTATATACCCCCTTAGCTTATATAAAGGGGTGCACCTTCTATTTTAGGTAAGGTAGCTAATACTTCTTTATATAAAAATAAAAAAAAATCTTTTCAACTTCTTATATAGTATTCTATTAAAATAACAAAAACTTAGTTTAAATCTATACTATATATAATAGAGTCTTATTTTATATCCCGAGTACCCCGAAGGATATCGTTATATAATCTAGACTACGTATATACCTTTATATACGGTCCCTATTACTAGGAACTATTTTCTTCCTATATAGTTAAAGTATAGACCGATAACTAGAGCCTTATTTAAGAACTCGTACCGTTTAGTAAAGTTAGTTTAATTAAACTAAGCCGTCTATATTATACTATCGGTTATTATATTAATTGTATAGGTAGCGTCTAATTAATTAGATAAAGGGTTAAGTAAATATATATTAGTTAAATAGGTTTAAGGAATTAGGATAGGTAACTTAACTAAGGACGCTACCCTTAGATAAGAACACTATACTGCTATTACTAGTACTAATATAAACGCCGTAGGCTTATTAGTTAGTAGAAGTAACGCTCGAAGTAATAATATAGGCGATAGTAATATATCCTATAAGGAAAGGTTACCTAGACTATTATTTAGTCCCTATTAGAAGGTAAGGTTAGATCCTTTATTCTAATTAGTCGTCGTTATCGTATTAGTTACTTTTATTAGCGCTAATCGATAAAGGTATATTTAATTAACTTAGTTATAGTTAGTAGGGGGGGAGGCCGCTACTAAGTTCTATATAGAGTTGTCTTCGTATTACTAAAGAGTAAGAGGTTATTGTAAGGGTCAGTAGCTAAGCAGTAAGAATGTACACGAAACTTTGAACTAAACTAAAGGGAGCACTAAATTAATATAGCTGCTATCTATATAAGACGAACTGCGAAGAAAGGAAGAAGGGTGCCTTAGAGGGAGAGCCCCTTCCTTAGTATTCCGCCCTATAGCCGTCTAGCGCGTCCGACGCGTAAGCGCAAGTACGTATGTCCTACTTGTCCGCTGTCTCGCAGCGCCTTTGTCTCCTAGCTAACTAGCGCAGCGCGCGTATACGAACTCGTTTAACCGCTCTTAAGCAAATATGTTTCTCCTAGCTCTTCCCTACCTTCCGGTTCCTTCCTACTACTCGGATCTGTCCTACGACTCTGTATATCTCGCTTACTGTCGTCCGTATATGCGTGCGCGTAGTTTAGTATAGTCCCGTCGTTCGTATATTAATATATAACGTATTGTTCTGCTATATACGGCCTCCGCGGGAGTCCCTAAGATATTACGTTATGCGGCTAAGTAGGCGACCTAGGCGTACTAGGCGTACTAGGCGTATTAGGCGTACTAGGCGTACTAGGCGTACTAGGCGTACTAGGCGTACTAGGCGTACTAGGCGACCTAGGCTAACTAGGCGACCTGCTTCGCTAGGGGCCCCTGCTACTAAGGCAACTTAAATCCGATATTACTTTATAGCATAGCGGCTAGCTTATAGGACTTGTCGGTACTTTCTAGGTAGCTACTATAATAGTAGCCCCCCCCTCGTTCTGCGCGGAGTTCCTACGACGCTAAAGGAGGTCCGTATACAATAGGTGCTAGTATTCTTGTCCTAGTTCGGGTCGGAGACCTTAATCCAAATTCTATTCGTACGCTTCTCGGAGAAAATGTTCCGGGACAGCTCCTTCTATTATCGTATAGTCGGTGTAGTCTCGTAGGAATTCCTCGATTGCTTCGCGGGCGAAGATAATATAGCGTAGAGGTTCCTAGGTCGTGTCCTCGTCTAAGTACCCCTCCTATTATACCTCTCCCTACGGCCCGGGAGGGTTAAGATTTCCGAAATTTGTATTACTAAAGCTCTATCCGATAATCGCCCGCACTATACCTAAGGCAGATTCCGGCTCGTCTTCGGCCTAATCGGTAGCCTTGGTAGCTTCCGGCATCGGCGGGATGTCTTCGGGGTCCGCGATTTCTCCGGCGGTTCTTAGGTTAACAACGTGTTTAACCGGGTGAATGTTGAGATTTTCTAGGAAATCTAGTTCGTATACGTATATACCGATTTTCTTTACAATTCGGAAGGGTCCTAGATTTTTCTAGTCGAGCTTTTTCGAAGGTCGGTTAGTTCTAATATATCGTAAGTCGAGGTAGACGTAATCTCCGACCTAGTAATCTAGCGCGGCGCGTCTGCGCTAATTAGCGTAGTACTCGTACACTTCTTAGATATACCTTATCTCGTCCTAGAGCTCTTAGTAGGTCTAGGCTATTTAAAGAGCGAAGGCATTAGCGTCTCTTTCCGGATCGTTTGCCGGGGGCTCTAGTTCGATCTCTATCGGTTCTATACCGGTTCGAGGGTGAAATCTAGTAGAGGCGTAGAACGGCGTAGTCTAAGTTGTAGCCGACTCCTAATTATTAATAGCAAATTCAATAGAAGGCGTCAATCTTAGCTAGTCGTTTTAGTAGTAATTGTAGAAGCACCTAATAATTTGCTCGATCTGCGCGTTAGCGCGTTCGGTTTGCCCGTCGGTCTACGGGTAGTAAGCCGTTAAAAGGCGCGCTTAAATTTTCAATCGTTCGTAGAGGCGCTTCTAGAAACGGGCAACGAAATTCGGGCCGCGATTAGATACAATTAATTCAGGTAGGCCTATATCTTTCTATACGTCCCGGTAGAAGACCTAAGCCGTATTCTTTACGGTTAGGCTGCGGGCATTCAATACCTTCTTACGTTTCGTAAGGCGGCAAACTACGACTAGTATATTTTAAAACTAGAGGCCGTTAAAGTCGGATCCTTTCGGTAGGCCTATAATAAAATCTATTGAAATGTGTTGCTATAGTCGTAGAGGGACTTTAAGAGGTTTTAGCAGCCCTTGCGGCTTACGCGTATCTACTTTCGCTCTGCGGTATACTACGCAGTTCTTAACGAATCGGTCGATATCCCGGTATAGATTAGGCTAGTAGTACTACTTCCGGAGCTAAGACAACATCTTAGCTCGACTGGGATATGCTATTCCGAGAGGGTTGTAAGCGGAACGCATAATCTGGTCGCGTAAATCTTCGAAATCCGGGACGTAGAGGGCATTTCTAAATATTGTACGGGGTGCTCGCGGTAGAGTTCTACGGAGCTCGTACTCCGAGAGAGAAACATTCTCGTACAACCGCTTCTCGTTCTATAAAGCTTGAATTAGACCTTTAGTAAAAGCGTCTTCGGCGTATGCTATCGTAAGCTACTATTCGAGCTAGGTAGGTTCGAGGAGGTCCTATGCTTCCTCTTCGCTTTCCTAGTTACTGTCTAAGCTTTCTAAACTCGTATCTTCGTTGTCCGAGCTATCGTCGTCTCCGAGAAAGGCGGGAGCGGCTATTAGTATAAAGGATGCTACGAGAGGCTCTAGGCCGGTAAAGTCGTCTCTAAGGAGCTCGTATAGTTCCTAGCTAAGGTTGTACTCCTTAAGGATAGACTGTTCTTTACGCTACGGACCTCGATCTAAAGGCGAGTCTCCGTTGCGCCTCGTAAGTACGTCGGCCTGTAAGTTTGCTTTACCGGGCGTATACTAAATAACGAAGTTAAACCGGGAAAGAAACTCACTCTAGCGTACCTGCCTACGGCTAAGGATTTTGCTCTTAAGAAAGTAGATAAGGTTCTTGTAATCCGAGCTAACCTAGATCGGTAACTTAGAACCTTCGAGTTCCGGACGCTATTCTTCGAAAGCCTTAACGATTGCGAGGAGCTCCTTATCGTAGATGTCGTAATTGCATTCCGCGGAGGACATTTTCTTAGAGAGGTAGGCTACGGGTAGCTACGTATCTTCCGGGGTCGTTCGTTAAAGGAGAACGGCGCTAGTTATACCGTCGGAAGCATCGGTTTCTAGGCGCGTTTCTTTATCGAAGTCGAAGTACTATAGGATCGGTACGGTCGTAAAACTTTACCGTAACTAGTCGAAGGCTTCTTAACAGGCCGGTAACTATTCAAATTTGACGTCTTTCCGCGTAAGTGCTATAAGTAGACGGGCGATTCCGCTAAAATTCCGTATAAATCTCCGGTAGAAGTTAGCAAAACCGAGGAAGCCCTAGACTTCTTTTACGTTTCGTAGCACTCCCTAGTTTAGAACGGCTTCGATCTTGCCGGGATCTATTCGAATACCTTCTAAAGAGATAATAAAGCCGAGG